CGTAGGAATTAATGACATTCAATGATGATAAAAAAAGTTATGTAGAAGACTAGGACAGCAGACAGAAAATGCAAGATGATCTTGGGAACTGGAGAAATGCAAATGGCATGAAATTCAATTATACAACATAAGAGACCACACACCTTGTGTCCTAAAAAGCTTCTGCTACAAGGTAGGAGGTTACCAGTTGGGAACTACAGAAGGAGAAGAGTTGGGTTCACCAGTAGATTGCAAGAAGGGCTATGACACCAATAGGATACAGCAAAGAAAAAGGCAAATGTAATCTTAGGATACATCAAGCAAGGCGTTTTGAATAGCAATTAGGAAGTATTAACACCACTGTAAAAACACTGATGAGACCTTATCTGGAGCACTGCATACAGTTCTGGTTCCCCCATGTTCAAGGGAGATGAACTCAACTTGGAACAGGTGCACAAAAAAGTCTACTAGCTAGGGTGCTCAAAGGAATGGGGGGCCTCTCAAGAAGGAGCTGGGTTTGTTTAGTGCTAAGGAGCTGCATCTGTTTGATCTAGAAAATGGAAAGCTGAGAGAGGATGTGATTCCTGCCATCAACTACAGGGAATACAAAACTAAAATATAAAATATAACTAAGGGGAAAAAAAAAAAAACCTATTCAAGCTAAGAGAAGGTTGGCACCAGGACCAATGGGTACAAATTGGCAATGAGTACGTTTAGGCTGGGAGTAAGAAGCAGGTTCCTAACAATCAGAGCAGTGAGGTTCTGGAAGAGCCTTCTGATAAATATTTAGGAGAAACTACACACCTGGCTACTTTTAAAGATGGAGTGCAAAGAGTTTATGAAAGGGATAACATGACATAGGGCCTGCCACAGGAGGCAACTGGACTCCGTTACCCAGGAGGATCCCTGCAGCTCTGTATTCCCCAAAACTCTTGCCCTAGAAACCTAGTAGCATCAAACTGAAGGCCATAAGATCCCAATGTATTCTTCTACTGGGACAAGATATCTCAACTCAAGCAGAACCAGACTAGCTTTCAACAACCTTGAAATCTAAAACCTGGGGAAAATACACGAAGCCAAGAGTAAAACTCACATTAATACAAGTGGGACCAGGATTGGACCCTGACCTGACAGTGGTGACACAGGTTTAACTGAACACCCAGCTCTAGGCAGACAAACTCTTCTCGTAGTTTGAGGATGAGAGCCAACAGAAGGAAGGAGCAAGACCAACCCAAATCTCCCCTATACTCTTAGACTTGAATAATTAACTAAAAATTGTTTTCACATCTGTTAAGTGCAGAAGAGAAACATCTACCTGATCTCTTGGTTACACTCCTCCTCGATGCCTCCTCATCCCCAAAGACAGATTAGTCTTCCTATACAGGTTTCCCTGGCTTTATGCGAGTTCTGTATGTGTGAATTTGCTCTTATGCCATGACCCTTTTTATACCAAAAATTCTTTATATGCAAGGTAAATTCACACTTATGCGATTGGTGTTGTGGAAACCCAGTCAGCTGCTTTGTGCAGTACGCTGTGGGAGTGACAAGCACTGAAACAGAGTCTCCTGTGTGGATCTGTTCTCCTTGCTTGTTTTCTGCAACACATGTTTCTGTAGTTGCCATCCCCATTATGATAGTGCCCTGTGCTTGTGTGTACTGTCTGCTGTTGGAGAGTACCAAAATTGTCTTGTAAAAGTGGTAGAAATGGGTCTGGGGGTCAGTACAGTGGCGGTCTTGGAACATAACCCTGTTTGTTACATTGTAAAGTGGATTTCCTTTATGCAAATTTGAGTTATGCGCCATTTTCCAGGAACGCATGTACAGCATAAAGCAAGGGAAACGTGTACAACAGAAGAGGCCAGTATTTACCAGCTTTGCAGACTTTTGAACCTGCAGAGAAAGTAGTTTCCTGGGTTCCACCCAGAGAACTTTTTTCTTTAGATGGTGGAACCCATTTCAGTGTTTTAGTATTGGGTACCTTTAAAAGATGGTGATTTCAGCTTGATATCTTGCATCAAGGTTGATTTATATGATGCCCTTCCTAACAAAGGCTCAGGGAAGCTTTATAGCAAGAGAAACAAAACAATTTTAAAGGGCAACTATAATAAATAAAAGCAGAGAACTCAGCCTAATTTTGGTTGCTAAATGCCTGTCCAAACAGAAAGGGCCTGCAGTGCTTCTGAAAGATGCCCGGGCTTGGGCCCTGACAGGGATCAAGAAGGATGTGAGAAAGGCTTAAGATGGCAAATAACTCACAACTCAGGATAGCTTTTTAGGAGATCACCCAGGTTTGTGTGCTGTAGGAGACTCCTGCAGAAGCAAATTCTAACAAAGCACTTTGACCTTTTAGAGGGTGCTCTGTAGGCAAACAACCTTCCCCTAAAACAAAAATGGAAATTAGCTACAAACACTGACAACTTTTGAAACTGGGTCTTGTCCAGGAAAGCAGACCAGTCTGTGGCTTGGAGATTCCCCTAAGTGAATTAAACGCTCAGAACACACACACCCCAAAAGTAAAAAACTTAATAAAAATAATGAAGCAAACTCTTTTATTGGGCTTAACGATATGATTCACTTATGCCAACATAATAGTAAAAGGTTGTAAACAGAACAGTAAATGGGTTGTTCTATGACCTCTTTGGTGAGCAGGCAGAGAAGACCTGAGACTATTAAAAAGGGCCAAGAAGGTCACAAAGGGAATTCTGCAACAACCCATAACTTTCATATAATGTTGAAAGGCCCTGCAGTTGAAGAGCTAAGCATGCAACTCCTATGGTATGGCTCTGGGGAAACAAAACTGTGAAGATGGACACTCACTTCACAACTATAAAGAAAAAAAAATCTTGTTATTCTAAGTTGATGAGCACTGGGAGAGCCTGGAAACTCCTTACAGTTGACGTGATGCAAAACAGACTGGAGACCAGGACAATCAAACCCCCATGATTAAGCCCTACGTACTCATCTATACATACAAATGTCTTGATGTGCTTTCAGCAGTACTGACTTCAGACCAAACACAAAGCCCCTCTGCTTTCTTTTTTGAGACTTATGCTTTTTGCAAAGGGTTGCGTTTTTAAAATGTGAACATTAAAAAAAAACAAACCTTGATTATCAAAATAGAACAACTGTGTTTAATGACAGCATTATGGATACCCTTTTCAATGAGGAGAAAACACACCATTTGACAAGACTGCAAAAAACTGCTTGGATTATGGTTTGGTAAAATGAAACACAAATTTTACAAAGAACAGGTAGAGATGAGTAATACATCACTCCATATCACTTGCTGACATGGTATATGAGACCCTAGCAGCAGCACTATTCTACGCTCCATACACTTAAAATATACTTAAAAAATGCCAGTTTGTTGTGTTTATTGTTTTTCTCTGCCCCAGTAAGAAGACCAGCACAAAAGAAAGAGGGTAAAATAATAGTTCCCTTTAAATCACATGCATGATTTACTCTAATAGACAAACAAGGGGCAAAGATAGAGAAAAATCCTTTCCCTCTGTAACACATGCTAATCTTTGTTAGTTAATCGTAAGTATTATATGTCCAAAAAGTGGGTACAAATTTTCCAGGACAGGGTGATCATATAGGAATATTAACTTGAATTTTCACAGGTATTGTACTGAAAATTCAGTACATGTGTGATCCACCTCAAAATATTTTTTTTAAAGAAAGCTAAAAAAATCCAATTTCTGATGCTAAAGAGTTCTAATTTGCATCAGATCACATCTACAGTGCAAATGGAAGTCCATTTACAGAACAAATACCAGTAGATATATCTGTGCCAGTTTTTACCTGTCTCACTTGGGTATGACTAGCTTTCAAGAGGTAGTAGATTCATAGATGTTAGGGTCCGAAGGGACCTCAATAGATCATTGAGTCCAAACCCCTGCATAGGCAGGAAAGAGTGCTGGGTTCAGATGACCCCAGCCAGATGCCTATCCAACCTCCTCTTGAAGACCCCCAGGGCAAGGGAGAGCACCACCTCCCTTGGGAGCCCATACCAGATTTTGGCCACCCTCACCGTGAAGAAGGTCTTCCTAATGTCCAGTCTAAATCTGCTCTCTGCTAGCTTATGCTATTATTTCTAGTAACCCCCAGGGGCGCCTTGGTGAGTAGAGCCTCACCAATTCCCTTCTGCGCCCCCATGATGAATTTATAGGCAACCACAAGGTCGCCTCTCCACCTTCTCTTGCAGAGGCTGAAGAGGTCCAGGTGCCTTAGTCTCTCCTCATAGGGCTTGGCCTGCAAGCCCTTAACCATATGAGTGGCCCTTTTCTGGACCCTCTCCAGGTTATCCACATCCCTCTTAAAGTGTGGTGCCCAAAACTGGACACAGTACTCCAACTGTGGTCTGACCAGCACCCGATAGAGGGGAAGTATCACCTCCTTAGTTCTGTTTGTCATGCATCTGCTGATGCACGATCAAGTGGCGTTAGCTTTGCTGATGAGTAAAGTGGCGTTAGTGGTACAGCTTTTGCTATAGGCAAGGCACCTGAAGAAATACATAGTATTATTTGTGGGCATGAACAGTCCATGCTGAAGTCTGGGACATACCACCACTTTTCTTACTGGTGCCCGAGCTAGTCTGATGAAAGGCCATATGCACTGCAATTATACCTCTAACTGCAACGCAGGTATAGATAAATTGACAGATATTTTAGTCTTTAGTGGATGACCATATCCCAAGACACTAGCCAACTCACTGAAGTATTGTCACAGGTATTCAGCACCAAAACCATTGGACTAATGTCAATTATCTGAAATATTCACATCACTAGAAGTTTTGTATTGCAATGAGCTGGAACTCCAATCACTTGGGTTTCTACTCATGAACTCAAAAGGAGATGGACAGCACAAGTTTAAGAAATGTAACCCTCCATGACAGTTTAAATGGCCATGCAACATGACAGGGAATCCATTTCAGGCTCCAAACAATCAACCTTTACTGCTATTTTTAATGATCAGTTACTCTAAAACATCAGAAAGCAAGAGTGAAAGCGAACCATTACCTTTCCGTAAGAGAAGACCGGTTTAGCACAGAACTTAAGGAATGTTTCTGCAATGAGGAGGGTGCGGAACGTATTAAGGAACTAGTCAAATGAAACTGCCTAGCTGTACCCGATGTCAGGTGCTCATCACAGCTGTCAGAAAAGCCATCAAGGTCTTTCCCATGAGAAGACCTTACCTGTCAATGAGGAAAAAAAAAAACGGAGAATAATTCTGAATGGTATATAGGAAGCCAACTGTTTTAGCTACATCTTTACATAAACTACTAGGGGACTATTTCTACTTTTTCTGAATGCAGAAAAAATTAAAGGCCGTTATTTTTCGGAAGAATACAAAGTTGCCGGTTCTGTCACCCATATGCAATACACAAGACACTTAGAACCAGATGTTTCTGTATCATATTTACCTGAATCCAAGACCACTTCAAATTTAAGATGATCCCCAATAATTACATTCTAGACATGAAATATTTATGATTTTCCAAGCACAGAATCTAATTTTTGGAGGGTTGTCTTAAATTCATCCTCCCCACCACTACAACAGGACAGGGAGCAGCAGGGGGCAGGCAGTGTGGGAATCAAATGGCCTGATTTTGCTCTTGCCATCTGTGCCTGCCCCCAGCCCACCTCTTGTCCCCTTTGCTGCCTGCCCTTCTCCACCTAATGCCTGCACACCCTCTACCTACCCCCGCCCCCATGGTACCCTGCACCAGCCCCCACTACCACTTGCTCCACCATGGTTCCTGTACCCACACCCTGCAACTTGCCCCACTACCACGTGCCCCCCCCATGCATGCACCTGTCCCACCACCTGCCCCCTCCCATTTCCTCTCTTCTTGTTCCTCTCCCCCCACCACCTCTGACTTGGCTTTGGCTGCGGCCTTGCTCCAGGCCAGGGTATGGAGCACAAGCTGCCTCTGGCTCTGCGTGACCATGTGGCAGCAGTTGCAGTGGCAACAACTCCAGCCCCAGCCCTAGTCCCGGTCCCACCCTATAGACAGGACGAGAGCTGCAACTGCAGCTGCACAAGGCTTGAAGGCAGCATGTCCTCTGTGCCCGAAACTGGAGTGGGGCTCCAGCTGGAGCCACAGATGAGATAGAAAGGTAAGAGGCGGCAGCTGGGGTGTATGCAGAGGGAGCAGAGGCTGCAAGATTTTGGGGGTAAGAGCTGCAGTTCTAACTTCAATCCTAAGCCACGAGTTGGAGCCACAGCTGTAACCACCCCCACTCAACGTTTGCTCAAATCCAAGAGGAGGGGCTTCTTCCCTTCCCATATTGGATTGGGGTGTCGGAGAGAGAATCTAATTTTGGATTCAAGTAAATATGCTACATGACAATGGAAGCAGCAGCATCCATCATGACTAAAGGTTGCCAGGTATTTTCCACGCTAACCCCAGTCTTCAGTCACAACTTCAACATTTTCACCTTTCCTAGAGTTGGTGTCTGAAGGCGATGCTTTACCTTTTAGTCTTAACAGATAAACTCCAGCCAAAACACGAGGATGTGTGGGAGGTGACAAGCAAGCGACAATCTTCCCAATGTTACAAACATTTTCATGCATTTTTTGGAACAGCTGTGGGGCTGAAACTAATTAAAGGCAGATATATGAAATAGTTCTCGCAGAAAGACGTGACTTGGACGTTTCTACTGAAAAATGCAACCTTGGAGATCTCTGGGAAGACAGTGTTCTTTCGTTGAGCTATGACCCTTTAAAATAAAAAAATCCTGAACACATGCAGAGTATCTTGCATGTGGTCCCTTCCCCTGACCGGGCCTGCCTCTCAGCTTCTAAGGAAATCTACACCTGCATAGCTGAGTGGAGTGACCAGCTATGCTGCCAATTAAAAAAAACACACACATACATCTACATCTACATCTCCAAAGGGGTTAGGAAAGTGGCTGTGTCCGTTAAGGTTCTGGAAGGGATCCCCTTTTGATGAACCCTTGGTGTTCCTCTATCTCTAACCAACATCAGATGACTTCTTTTCTCATTAGACCAAATTTTAGACTGCACTATGATGTCTACATACTTCTCTGGTGCTGTGTGGGGAAACCTCCAGCTAAGCAAAGCTTTCAGAACAGGTCTAGGCCAAATATGTGGAGAAAGATAATGACAGACAATTTCTAACAGCTTCTTTGCTCAGGAAATGGGTCTCAGCATCATCTTACATTTGGTATATCCACTTCTACAGTCACAGATCAAAACTGGATCTGTTCTTACACATTCCAACAAAGCAAACAAAACCAGGATAGCCTTACTCATGTATAACCCTCATTAAAACATCACACAGCTGGTCTTTTAAAACTGCATCTAACCTCTAGGAGCAACATGTTTGTTTTTCGTTTACCAGTACCCACATATAGGAACTATTTCAAAGAATTCCCCAGGCTAGACAAGAAATTCCCTAGGATTATCTTTTACCCCATCACGTAGGTTTTAGATCAATTGCTGCTTAAGTTGAATGTTCCTATCATTCTACACTGGGTGGGATCCTAAGGAACTGAGCAGTGAACTGCCTGGAGTTAGTCAGTAGAAAACACTACGGAGAGGGCTGTGTCTTAAATCCCACCCAGCTCTGGGACTTGGGCACCTCACTCAAGGTTGCATGATGGAGCTGCTATCCGCTGAGACCCATGGTTATCTCCGGAGGTCAGGCACCCACTAGTTCTTTCCAAGAACTGAGTACGGACCACTTTTCATGGAGGAAAAACCTACCTTTTATGCAGTAGCCCAGTGACGAGAATGCATACTCAGGAGGTGAAAGAATTTTTCTAACTACTTGAGTTGGTTTAATAAAAGACTTCATAGATTTCATAGACATTAGGGCTGGAAGGGACCTCGGAAGATCATTGAGTCCAGCCCCCCGCCCAAAAGGCAGGAAGTCAGCTGGGGTCACAGGATTCCAGCAAGATAAGCATCCAATTTGCTCTTGAAGGTGTTCAATGTAGGTGCTTGAACCACCTCCAATGGCAGGCTGTTCCAGACCTTGGGGGCTCAGACAGTGACGAAATTCTTATGTCCAGCCTGAAACGGTCTCACAGTAGTTTATGACCGTTATATCAGACTTCCCCAAAGAACCTTGTCTGCCTATATCCAGGAAGTGAGTGACTATAGTTCAATGTCCTCCTCAGCCTGACCCCATCTCCCACTACCCAGGAGAGAGCCCTCCCTACCAACCAATATACCAGGTGTTCTCTTCCTTTCCCATTGAAACCGAGCCACTGTAAAAAATAATTTAACATTTACTGGATTGAAAAGGAAAATGACTCTATTGCTTTGTGACTAATGCACTCCAACCCCTAGGTTCCCAACTCTGCTTCAAGGATTGCACCTGGCACCAAAAGCTAATCCAAATAAAGTTTTGACGGGCTCCAGCAATGTGCCTGGCACCCCTTTATGGCTGGGTCTAAAAAAGCAGTCCTTATGTTCCCCATAACATTTTCTATCTGCATAGCTCAGAGACTCACCCATCTTAAGGGTA